AGGCAGGCGGGGGGAGACAAGGATGTTAGGTTGTTACGACATGCAGTTACGACTGTTGTGTCCCCTAGGTCGGTGGTCGGATTCCTCAGGTCGGCTATGGTTCATGGGTCATCTCAGCTCGGCACAAAGCAGCTCGTTGAGTTCCAATGGTTGATTTACGGTAATTGGGTTGACCCAAACTAAGAGTATACTTACACGTGTCTAGTTGACTTTTGACCACCAACATTGGGCCCCTCTCTAGCATAACCGAGCTGCAATTTTGGCAGAGAAGAGAAGAAAAAGAGTTAAAATAAACTAAAATGAAATGTTTTTCCGAAATGACCTGACGAGGCACCAGTTGAGTTGATTTCCCTCGTTCTGACAGAATGTGAAACGCCGCTCTGACAGGTCTTACGCGTGCATGTATTTTCCATGTTTCGAGGGTTCATTTAGGATTTCAACCAGTACCGACCTGGCGAGGTCGATTTCGTAAGCAGAAGCCAACTTCGTACTTCGTGATCTCGGCCAACTGACTCTTGACCTTAGCTAGATATCTTTCCATTTTTAGGTCCTTAGCTTGATACTCTTCGACGATCTGGTTCACTACAAGCTGTGAATCGCTATAGACGAGTATGTGTTGTACTCCGAGACTTCTTACCACCCTCAGGCCGGCAAGAAGGGCCTCATACTCTGCTTCGTTGTTAGTAGCACGAAAATTGAAGCGAATGGCATACTCAAATTTCATTCCTCTCGGAGCTGCCAGTAGCACCCCGGCTCCGCAACCTTTATCGTTTGAAGAGTCGTCTACATACATTGTCTAAGGCTCCTGAGTTTCTGACTCCGAGCAGATGGATGGTGTCGGCTCGACTATGAAATTTGTGGTTGCCTGTCCTTTAATCGTTGTACAGAGCTCGAATGTTATGTCGTACTCGCTGAGCTCGAGTGCCCGCTTCATCAATATGCCAGAAGTCTCTAGCTTCTGGAAGACTTGACGTAGTGGAAAGTTTGTCAATACCGTGATGGGATGAGCTTAAAAATAAGGGTGAAGCCTCCGAGCTGCCGTGACTAAGGCTAGAGCGAGCTTCTTTATGGCTGGGTACATGTTTCTGCATACGTTATGGCTTTGCTTGTATAGTAGATGGGATTCTGATGTCCATTCTCTTGTTTGACCAGTGCCGAGCTGACAGCTCTTTCCGACACTGCAAGGTAAATGAGGAGCTGGTCTCCTTGTACTGGCTTTGCTAATAGAGGTGTTGAGCTTAAATATTTCTTGAGCTGCTCGAACTCGACCTGGCACTCAGGAGTCCATTCRTACTGCCTTTAGTTTTTAGAACCTTGAAGAAGGGCAAACATTTGTCAGTTGACCGTGACACAAACTGATTCAGTGCAGCTATTCGTCCATTCAAACACTATAGTTGCTTCAAATTCTTTGGAGGCTCTATGTCTAGCATAGCTCGAATTTTCTCTGGGTTCACCTCAATTCCTCTTTGGTTCACCATGAAGCCAAAGAACTTACCTGAAGAGACTCCGAAGGTGCACTTAGCTGGATTTAGCTTCATGCGATATCGTCGTAGTACTTCAAAGGCTTCTTTCAGGTCGGTATGATGCGAGCTGGCCTTCTTACTTTTAACAAGAATGTCGTCGACGTAGACTTCCATGTTGTGGCCAAGTTGCTTGACGAACATTTTATTGACCATGCACTGATAGGTTGCACCTGCATTTTTAGGCCAAATGGCATGACCTTGTAGCAATAAAGGCCCTAGTTGGTAATGAACCTATTATGTCGCTAGTCAGGTTTGTACATCTTAATTTGATTGTAACTTGAATATGCATCCATGAAAGTCAGCAGCTCGTGCCCGACTGTTGCGTCGACTAGTTGATCTATTCTTGGTAATGGTAAGCTATCTTTTGGGCATGCCTTATTAAGTTAATGAAATCTACACACATGCACCAGTTACCATTTGATTTTTTAACTAAGATGACATTAGAGAGCCAATCGGGGTAGAGAATTTCCTTTATGTATTCGGCTCGTAAAAGTTTGTTCACCTCTTCTTCAATTACAACACTCCTCTCACTATTTACAAGGCGACGCTTTGTTTTACAGGTCGGTGGGAGGAATCTATTTTAAGTCGGTGAACCATGATTTTTGGGTCGATGCCGAGCATATCTTTATGCGACCAGGCAAACACGTCAGTGTTGGTTCTCAAAAAGTAGATCAGGTCAGCTTGGTCGTTGGCCCCCAGCTGGTTCCGATGCTCACTTGCTTCTCGGAACTGAGTAATGGAACCAACTCTAACTCCTCCGCATGTGTTCCTTTGCTCAAGTCGGGTTTGTCTACTACTAGGTCTTCCTAACTCATGATGGCAGCGCAAGTGTTTGACCCCTTTAGGGCAGCAGCGTAGCATTCACATGAGGTTTCTGGAGTCACACTTTCTCCGGAGAACCCAACCAACAACGTTGGGCTCTTTTTCAACTTAGCTCGGCCTCACCCGAGTGCCTTATAGGTGGACAGTGTTAGTATGTTTGTTGAAGCACCACCATCTATGAGAACCCTACGTACGGTGATGTGGTCAATTAAAGGGGCAATGACTAAGACGTCATTGTGAGGGAAGTGAACATTCTAAAGGTCGGCATCAGAGAAGGTGACTGGGGAAGCCTAGGGTCCGGTTGCAGCATGCACACCTTATATCCTGCCTCCCTGGTGAGCTCCTTGCATTTGTGACCTAACTGGCCACTACTTGGCCCCCCGTGAATCGTGTTGATCACGGGAGGTCAGTCTTCGCACTTGGGAGGGGTTTTAACCTTTCCCTCTTCTACTTCTTCATGCTACTTGAGGGATTAGAGTTTTCTTATCGGTCTCGCTTTCCAATATATTTCTTGAAGTAGCCTTGTCGAATCAGCCGTTCAATTTGCTACCTTAGGTCAAAGCAGTCTGAGGTGTAGTGGCAATAATCTCTATGGTACCTATAATACTTTGACTTGTCGTGCTGTTCGAGATCCTTTTGCATTTTTCTCGGCTCTACTAACAAATCCAAGTTTGAATCATGGATGTTGGCCAAGATTTTCAGACAAAAGGACTCGAAGTTGCGTCAACGTGCTAAACCTTTGAGGTTTGTTGGTCTTCTAATCATCTCGTCGACTATAATTAGGTCAGCGGAGAGTATTTCCACAGCCGTTTCCACCGTTGCCATTCTTCTTCTCATCCTTCTTCTCGGACTTGGAAGGTGAACCCTTCCTCGAGTACTTATCTTCCTTGGACATCATAATGTCCTTGGCTTCAATGAACTTTGTTCCTCGGTCCAAGCAACCCTTCAAGGTCAGCTCGGGCTTCTTTGCTAGTGACCAGCTCAACTTTTCATATGTCAAGCCGTTGCAGAAGGCGAACCAAGCTAACAGGTTAGTACAGTTCTTGACCTTAATTTACTTTGAGAGAAAGCGTTTGATGTAGACCTTGATCAGTTCATTTGGCTTCTGCTGGATTGAGAAGAGGTATATATCGAAATGCTTCGCATCCTTGTGGGCTGCGAATTGAGCTATGAACGCCTTGCTCAGCTGCTTCCAGTTCGAGATTGAGTGGTGGGCCAGCAGTCTGAACCACTTCCTTTCTGGTCCCTGCAGGGTTATGGAGAAAGCTTTGCACTTCATCGCGTCCAAATACGCGTTGAAGTCCATGATTGACTCGTATGTCTCGACATGATCAACCAGATCTTTAGTCCCATCGTACTTGTCGAACGTCAGTAGTCGGCGCTTCTGCAAAATGGGGGCATCTAGGATGTCCTGAACAAAAGGCGGCTCATCCGGCTCATCATCTTCTATGAATTTCCTGGCTTTCCTTAGGTCTCCCTTTATCTCGCTTACCAGCTCTCTCTTCAGCTGATCGAATTGCACCTACAAGCTCATGTTGCCTACAGATTCCTTTGGATGCTCCATCCTAAGGTCTCCACGCTTTGGACCTCGAGTCTTGCTTTGACCAACCTTAGAAGGTTATAGGACCCCTACATTAAGCAATGCTTGGGTCATGGCTTCCAAGCGCACTTGCATGTCAGCCAACTGTGACTGTATCTGCTCGGACGACGGCACCTCCATTGGTGTGGATTTGGATTTGCGAGCGTCTGCTCGGGTCTTCGACTTCTTCGGGAGTGGGGGGCGCTCCAACTCCTTTCCTGGTCTGCAGTTGGGTAGGCCACGATCTCCGTTCTCATTCTCATTACTTCCAGAATGGGAACCATTGCCTTCAGCCATTGTTAGAGTACAAAAAGCTTACTGTGTCGGTTCCCACAGACGCCAAATGTTGATGTTGTTTTCCAACCGAGCTCACACATCGGTGACAAGCTGACGTGGATGACTAGCTAATTT